TTTTAATCTTCTTTAGAACAGGAGGACTAATAACGGTAGCTCCTCGTGAGTCATTCGATAGTGAAAGAAGTTTTCCGTGGGCAGACGAAGAAATTTGTTTGCATCTTTTGTCCAACCCTAGTCCTTCTCTATTCAATTCAGGTGTGGAAAATAGTTTATTCTCCCAAACACCTTGAGTGGATGGATCCAATGTTGGGTCCAAAACAATAAAAAGATCTGCTTCATAATGTTGGTCTGCAGCATACTGTTAATGTAGGAGCTGTTGGACAGTTCTACGTGTAAGATGATCCTTCTGCTTGCTGTATCTCAACGTTTTCGTGTCAGACTCTGAAGCGTTTAGCAATTTACTTGCTGAGAGTGACAGCGAGGCATTCACCACTTTTGTTGAGGATCGTGACTGTTGTTGAGCTGGGGTCAAAAGCTCAGAATGGATTTTTTCAAAACATTCCTGGGCAGATTTTTCAGGCATCTGCAACAAACTTCCAAGAATTAAAGCCAAATCAAGACAGCAGAAATGTAAGCTAGAAAAGGCTGGAGAGAATCTTTATCTATAAAACCTCAAAGTTGGAAATGTAGTTTAAACAATGGCTTCATGGTCTTATGTGTGAATAATGAGTAGGATTATCAGACCAACATTGACTTGTATGTGAACTCAGGAAAAAAAATTTGATACCACAAGGAGACTTAGAAAAGGTATCTGAATCTTAAACAAAATAAGAATAGTAGATTTAAGAATTAAAGGAGGTCAAGCATATTATAAGTTACCAGTCTATTTGTTCTTGCATTTGAATTTCATTTTCCTGCCTGCACTTCTAAGAAACAGAGCGATTGGGTATATGAACTCAAGCAAGGGGAAAGAAAAACATATGAAATTTTGCGAAGTCCTACCTCCTCTTGGGCACAAATCAGTTCATCATAAGTTCCATCAAACTATAATTGTAGTTCCGTAAAATTTTATTCAGGGACCATATTTGACAATAAGTGCATATTTTCAAAAGAAACCAAAAGAATTAATTTAAACATGTATTTCCCATTGCATGCAACTAATTTGACAATTATGAGAGCTATGAATGGAAAAAAGTATTGGCTAAAAGTTATTCTAGAACATTTTTTTCCCAATACAGTGACACAGATATCATTGAAAGAAACCAAATTTCTTTGTCAAGGTAATCAACTGGCAGCATATTACCATTTTGGCAACTTTCTTCCAGAAATGGGGTGTCGGCTTTGCTGCAAAATAAGCTCTTCCCGGCTCCAATTCTTGCTCTGCTGTCCATCCCTGAAACATCCTATGCTCTTCTTCAACTTGGATTTTCTTCCTTTTCGCAGGAGTCTGTTTTTTTTCAGCTTCAAAACCAACACTCCGACCTTCCCCTCCTATTAAATCTGCGGACAGAACATTAATGGTTGCATTTTCACTAATAGGCTCTCCAGGTAAATTTGCTCCTAGTTTGTCTTTTCCATCATCTGAAAGGACCTTTTTGTACAAACAACCAAAGAGAACATTCTGGATGGACTCATTACCCCCAACATCACCAATTCTTGCAGTGTGTTCATCTTTAATTCCTCGACCGGCACTTCTTGTATGCCTCTTTTCAATTTTATACATGTATTGCTCAGACAAATTAACATCCCCATTAGCTTTTCCACTATCATGTGATGGTACAGAACCATGGTTCAAAGTCGTGGTCGCGGTCACGGTCGCGGCCTGGAACGTTCCACATCGGTCTCGACATATCGATCGTGGTCTCGATGAGACGCAAATTTTAAAGTATTTAATATTCTAAAAATTATTAATAATATAAAAAAAGTATGCTAAACAAAAATAATAAAAAATAGCAAAAGAAATGGCCGAGTCAATCCGTCACGGTGTAACTCGCCCGATTTCTCGTCTTAATTCGGGATAACTCGGAGTGACTCGGCCGACTCAATCTGTCGCGGTGATGTTTCGGACGATTTCTCGGCGAGTCAAGTATCTCGGTATCGTTTCGTCACGGTATCGTATCGGTAGGGGCCGAGACGGTGACGACTCGGCCGAGTCGTCTCGGTCTCGGCCGAGACTTCGAACCATGTACAAAACCAGATTACAGCAATGGCAGAAATATTACAACAACCAATATGAATTTAACTACAACAAAATTTAATGGAACAAAGAGTTTGAGAATTCAAAAGATGAACTCAGCTTTTCATTAGTGAACTTCAATAACAACTTACAAGAATAGAAATTATGGTTTCAGAGGAGAAGGGGAAAGAGATGAAGGAAAACATGGGAAGGACAAATGAGATTGGCAATGCCAAATATTCTTACAACCAAATCTGAAAAAATGACAAAAGATGAATCATTACAAAAGTTTCCCAGGCTTATATCATTTCCTAAGCTAACTAACTTCCAACGTGACCAACGAGCTTAAGACATGTGTCCCTCCCAGAATCTTCAACTGCAGTGGTCCTCAACTCCTGCAAAATTTGTAGATTTCTAGTAAAGGCGTGCTTCTTATTGTTTCACTCTCCACACCTTTGTTTCTGTTTCACGCCTTCTTATTTCTTCATGCTCCTGTAAACTAAAGCTGAGTATCAGTCCCTCCACTCCATCACAGAGCTTTCCTCTTTAGAAAAATCTTGCCCTCACTATTGGAACTGAGGAAATTGCCTCTCAATTTCCTCAGCATCCTCCCAGGTTGCTTCAGCTGGATTAGTTCCCCACCAATGCACCAACCACTGTACTGTGGCAGCATTTCTTTTCTTAACTATTCTCCTATCCAACACTGCTACTGGTTCTAGTCTCAAGTGCCCTTTTGCATCAACATCTGGCAGCTGCAGAACTGGAGTAATTGTTGGAATGTATGCCCTAAAACAATGTATTTGTTTTTATTTTATACATTCCTAAATTATATGTTTTGTATTTTAATAATTTCTTATTTATCTGTTAAATATTGGATATAACTGATAAAGTCCTTAGAATGTTTACTAATGTGATGGTAGTCACAAGAGTTGATGACTATGAGATATCAATCGCATTTATAGTAATATTCTTAAAATTCCCTAGTTATAGTACTAATGAAATAGGACATCTTTAGTACGGTAAAACTAGTACACAGTTAGCCTCTAATTAATGTAATTAGTGGTTGTTCTCATCAACTATGGTATGATGATACCTAGGCTAATGTGTAGATGATTTGGAAAGTACAAATGCATTGGAATGATCCATTTAGAGATCCCGTTAGGATATCTATCTAGTGCCAATGGTGTATCTCTAGTAAAAAATTGTGTAAGTGATCCTACGACTTGAGATCACCATAGTATCTTGAGTGTGAATCGCTACATTTTGACTCTATTTACTTGTTACTCTTCGTGAGTGCCTTAAAGTGTAGAAGTTGGATGTAGTGTGAAGCATGTAAAGAGAATGGGTGATCGAAATAGGATTTACCACTCTGATAGAAGGAGTTGATATCCGGATGGCCACTAGTGGGAAATTAGCCCTAAAGTCGACTATTAGGTAAATTGAAAAATGTCTTCAATTTAACCTAATTCAGGGTAAATTTCGGGAACTGGAAAACTTAATTAGTCATCAGGGAATTGGCGCTTATTCCTTATTCCTGACTAATTGGATATCTTTGGTGAAAGGATAATAATTACACGGTAATTTTTCAAGGAAATGTTAGGTGAAATTCCCTTGACTAATTCCGAGTAATTGGGCGGTTGCGATGTGTTGCTAGACACCGCTCGTGATCTTTAATTATGGATTAATTATTTATTATAAGTTATGATAAAATAAAGTCGTTTATTTTATCTAATTATTAAACCATAATTATTACCAACTTATTCGGGACCTATTGGGTCACACACAATAGAGATTTAATTCTGGATTAAAACTATGTAAATTATCGGGGTTTAATTTTAAAAGAAAATAAATTCCAGGCCTATTTGAGTAAATAAGAGTGAACGATTATCTCTTATCTGTCAGATAACTGATAGATAGAGTTTTGGGTGATGAGAAGTCTTATCGTTTGATTTTGAATCAAATAGAAAGACTCATCATTCTATTTTATTATCTCTCTTTCTCCTTTTAACTCCTAAGGGAGAGATAGAGGAGGTGAGAGAGGTGAAGGTAACAAAAAGGCAAAAGGGAGAATCTGTGAGGGTCACATATTTTTCGAATAAGAGCAAGAAGGGCTAGCAACTTTTTCATGCTCTTCAGTACATAGTTCGTGAGACGACCCAGGGTTGCTCTAGCGTGGATATCAGTAGAGGCAGGACGATTGGACTGCTCAAGGGCTAACAATCCTCAAACAACGCTGCAGGGAGACGCCGCTTGGATTAAGGTAATCCTAAAACCCTACTTTTAATACATCATACGTAAAATCTAAGGTGATTCCTGGATGGTTTTAGAGAAAAAATTTTTATTTTTCCGCTGCGTAGTGTCTCTAAAATCCAACAGTGGTATCAGAGCCATCCCTAAGAATTTTACGTATGATTTTAAGCAATTTTGGATTCATGGATTAATATTACTGGTTGGATTTAATTGATATGCGAAATTGTGTGTAAGAACAAGTTTCGGAGGAATATAAATATTGGGACTATATGGAAACTTGAATACCAAGGGCGTTTAGAACTGGTTTCATGCACCTTGGACTCTTGTTACGGTTCCGACTAGTCTGATATTCTTCCATCTTAGTCCTTTGCATTAGCCAAGAAAGCTTTGAATGAACAAGTTTGCTGTAATCTGATTATACTGTTGTTATGGGTTTGGTTTTCTGAAATTTTGAGGCCTCCGAATAACCTTTAAAATCTGGAAAAGTTACAGATTTTATTGGTTATTCATTCAATCAAAACTTGAATTTTGATCATCACTTTGCCGGGCATTTGCGGGTCATGCTGTCCAACGTGATTATCAGGTTTTCTTTTTCTTATGAGATGGAATCAGACCTGAATCTTTGTTGATGATCTGCAAGAGTTGCTGGTCTCTTAGTTTTATGAAAAAAAAAAGGTTAGCAGCCAAAATGCAGCAGTTTTGCTGCTGCAACAGCCGACATTGCTGCCAGCGATCTTCCAAGGGCTGCCGCTTGCTGCCGCTGCTATGTGAGGCCATGGGAGGCTTCCTTGGTGGTGGTGGAAGGTTGCTATAGCTCTTGGTGGTTGCTGGGTAAGCAAACCAAGAGTTTTCAAGGCGTGAGAATGCATCAAAACTGCTGCAAATTGCAGCAGCAACCTATGCAAGAAAAAACTGCAGCAGGTTACTGCTGAAGATGAGCTCCATTGTTGCGACCACTTGGGAGCTATTGCTGGGAGCCGTTGCCACTGGTGATAAGTGTAGAACCCAGTGGTGGTGACAGTAGAAATGGTGGCCAATGGTGGTTGCCAGTGATGCTAGAAAACGATTGCAAGAGTGGTTTAGGAAACTGGAATTTTTTTTCCCCTAAAACTTGAAGTTTTGAACTTTTGGCAATCCTTTGAATTAAATCCCATTTTAATTGTTAAAATATGTTATGGAATCATTTATTTCATATATTATTAGGTTGGGAATTATTTTAGAACTAATTTGACTAATTTGAATTATTTTCCCACTCTTTCCTCAAATTAGTTGAGGATAAAGTTGACCTAATAAAATTTAATTTTACCAGTATTTCTTGCGTATGCATGGACCCAAAATTTGTTTGGGACCTTAGGAATTAAATCCAATTAATCCATGAATTGAGATTGCTTATTTTACATGCTTTTCTTTTATTTAAAGTTGTTTAAATTGTGAAAATGCATGGTGGATGGTTGTGGATATAGTACACAATATGATTGTGGTATTTTGGATGGTTACAATCATTCTAGGTTTGAATGGTTGTAATTAATTTTAAAATAGGGTCTGCGTGTCCTGCCTTTCTTATTTTCTAATTGTAATTTCTTTTCTCATCTAAATTCCCCCCGAATGTAACTCGGGGTTTCTTCTATACTATTTGTAATGTACAATAGATAGGAATAGATGATAGGAATTTATATAATTTATATTTGAAAAGAAGAAAGGAGGCATACTACAACGAAGGAGTTCGTCTCGGTATTAAAGATTTTAGTCTCATGCTAATTTTCCTAATGGCCGGGGAAATTAGTTTAGGAATATCCACAACCATCCACGATTTAAATTCATGTTAATACGTTTTTGAAATGGTTATATGCATGTTTATTGATGAGACCAGATGAGCAATTTTTCCAAATTTTAATTATAAAATATTTTTGGAAAAAAAAAGGAGACAAATCCCTCAACAATAATATTAAATCAATAAAATGCCTTCCATCATTATAGTATAAAACTAGAGTCGTTATTAAGTGCTAGCTTGTTGGGATTCACCCAAGGCTGCCTTACTTACTACGTGTTTTTGCTATGAGAAATGTTCTCAAGAATGATGGGTTTGATTTAGCTAAAATTATGATTTGTTGGGATTCACTCAAAATCATTAATTTTAGAGGCAAGTGTTGGGTTGATTCATAGAGATTTAAAGTCAAGAGTTGACACCCAACTAATCTAGGAATTACAATAAGTTGTAATTGGTAAAAGTACCTACCTTTCATAATTATTTTCGATTTGTTGAGACACACTCAAGGTCGAAATAAATTAAGATAGGATCCTAGCCACTATGGAATTTTAGAAATTCCCGATTCAATTTAAGAGGGTAATTGATTTGAAAAAAATTAGTGGAAATAAAATCATAATTTTGAAGTTTTTATGATTTTATTAAACAAAACATTTTTCTAACAAATTCTATCTTTCATGTTGTTGTAGAATGAGTAACAATTTGAGCCTTCGTACTATTCTTACTGATTGCAAATTCAATGACACGAACTTTCTTGATTGGCATCGTAATGTCCTTATTGTTCTCATTCATGAGAAAATTGAGTATGTACTTGATGGTTCAATGCCTCAAGAGTCTGAACCTACTGCACCTGCTGCTGTTAGAAATACTTATAAGAAACATAAGGATGACAATAGGGAAGTTTCATGTATCATGATAGCTTCCATGACTTCTCAGCTTCAACAGCAGCACATGAACATGGGGGCGTATGATATCGTACAACACCTAAGAGAGTTGTTTGAACAACAATCAAGGACGGTTAGATATGATACATCTAAAGAATTGTTCAGGTGCAAGATGGCAGAGGGAGCACCTGTTGCTCGCATGTCTTGAAAATAATTGGGCTAATTGAAAAACTGGCCGAATTAGGTTTTAAGATGGATCAGGAGCTGAATGTTGATTTAGTGCTCCAATCTCTGCCAGATTCTTTCTCACAGTTTGTTATGAACTATCAGATGAATAATCTGCAGCACCCTTTGCCTCAATTGTTGAATGTGCTGAAAACTGCTGAGAAAGAAATCAAAAAGGGAAAAGGCTCTACTGGTGTGCTTGTCGTTACTTCCTCTAAGAAGAAGAAGAGGCAAGAAAAGGGATTTAAGAAATCCAAAAACAAGCTCACCCAAAATCCCAAAAAGGCAAAGGCGGACCAGTCCAAAGCAACTTGCTTCCATTGTAATCAAACTGGACATTGGAAAAGGAACTGCAAGTCATACTTGGAGAGCCTGAAGCAAAAGAAGCCTGTTGAAACTTCATCATCAAGTACATATATGATTGAAATTAATGTGTCTATTTCCAAATCAGACTCTTGGGTATTAGATACCGGATGTGGTTCTCACATTTGCACATCTAGGCAGGGTCTAAGGGACAGTAGAAAGTTGGAAAAAGAAGAAGTCACCCTACGTGTGGGCAATGGAGCAAAAGTTGTTGCTTTAGCTGTAGGGACTTATTATATCACTTTACCCAATGGATTGATTTTAGAATTATTAAATTGTTATTGTGTTCTAGCACTTACTACAAACATCATTTCTATTTCCTGTTTGGATTTAAATGGGTTTCGGATAACCTAGGAGAATAAATGTTGCTCTTTTTCTAAAAATGGTGTGTTTTATGGTTCTGGAAGTTGGAATAATGGTTTATATATTCTAGATCTTGATCATCAAATTCTCAATGTGAGTGAAAAAAGAATGAGAATAGATAAACTAAATAAAACCTACCTCTGGCACTGTAGGCTTGGTCATGTAAATGAAAAACGCATCTCCAAGTTATACTAACATGGATACTTGGATTCATTTGATTATAAATCATATGATACATGCGAAGCTTGTTTACTTGGCAAAATGACCAAAATGCCCTTCACTGGAAAAAGGGAACGAGCCAGTGATTTACTTGGGCTAGTACATACTGATGTATGCGGCCCAATGTCGATCACTGCTAGAGGTGATTTTTCATACTTCATCACCTTCACAGATGACAATTCGAGATATGGTTACGCGTATTTAATGAAATTCAAATCTGAATTCTTTGAAAAGTTTAAGGAATTCAAGAATGAAGTAGAAAAACAAACCAATAAAAGTATTAAAACACTATGATCTGATTGTGGTGGAGAATACTTAAATGACGAGTTTGGAGTTTATTTAAAGGATAACGAAATAGTTCCACAATGGACTCCTCCAGGTACACCACAGTTAAATGGTGTATCTGAAAGGAGAAATCGAACCTTATTGGATATGGTTCGTTCTATGATGAGCCACTCAAGTGCCCCAAAATCGTTTTGGGGATTTGCATTAGATGCAGCCTCTTATACTCTTAATAGAGTACCCATTAAAGTTGTCGACTCCACACCATATGAGATATGGAAAGGAAAGAAACCAAATCTGTCTTATATGAAGGTTTGGGGCTGCCCAACTTATGTGAAGAGGGCAGAGTCAGACAAGTTTGAAGCTAGATCTGACAAATGTTTGTTTGTAGGGTATCCAAGAGAGTCTATAGGATACTATTTCTACAATCCAATTGAGCAAAAGGTATTTGTCTCAAAACATGCTGTTTTTCTAGAGAAAGAATACATTCTAGAAAGAAGCAGTGGGAGTAGAATAGATCTTGAAAAAATTCAGGATCATCCAACAAACATTGAACGATCTAATGAAGAACAGCTTCAACCACACAATGATGGGGCAGATACTGAAGCTGTTGATACACAAGGGCTCCGTAGGTCAGTAAGAACACGCTCAACTTCTAAGAGATACCAATTTCTTGTGAGTCATAGCAATGATGTTCTAGTCATTCAAGATGACGAACCTACTACCTACCAAGAGGCAATATGTAATCCAGACTCCTCTAAATGGTTAGAAGCCATGAATTTCGAAATAAATTTCATGTATGACAATAAGGTGTGGACCTTAGTTGATCCACCTAAAGGGATAAAACATGTAGGGTGTAAATGGATCTTCAAGAAGAAAACTGACATGGATGGTAATGTGGTTACCTATAAAGCTAGACTAGTAGCCAAAGGCTACAAGCAGAAAGAGGGAATCGATTACGATGAAACTTTCTCACCAGTATCTATGCTTAAATCCATTCGGATATTGCTTGCCATAGCAGCATATCATGACTATGAGATTTGGCAAATGGATGTAAAGACCGCGTTCCTTAACGGGACATTGCATGAGGATGTGTATATGACACAACCTGAAGGCTTTACATCTACAAATCCTAGTCAAATATGTAAGTTACAAAAGTCTATTTATGAACTTAAGCAGGCATCTAGGAGTTGGAACATCCGATTCGATGAGACGATCAAAGAGTTTGGATTTCTCAAGAATCCGGATGAACCTTGTGTGTATAAGAAAGTTAGTGGGAGTTCGATTGTTTTCCTTATTTTATATGTAGATGACATATTAATAATGGGAAACAATATACCGATGTTACAATCGGTAAAGGGTTGGTTGCCGAAGAACTTTTCCATGAAAGATTTAGGAGAAGCGGCCTATATATTAGGCATTAAGATCTATAGGGATAGATCTAAAAGGCTACTGGGTCTTTCACAATCTACATACATAGAAAAGGTGCTAAAAAGGTTTAGCATGGATCAGTCTAAGAGGGGTAATTTACTTATGACTCAGGGTATAAACCTTTCTAAAAACATGTGTCCAAGACACAAGTTGAGACTGATAAGATGCACAATGTTCCATATGCTTCAGCAATTGGATCAATTATGTATGCTATGTTATGTACAAGACCTGATGTCTCCTATGCTCTGAGTGTCACAAGCAGATTTCAAGCTAATCCAGGTGAGGGTCATTGGATAGCCGTTAAGAACATTCTTAAGTACTTAAGAAGGACCAAAGATTTGTTCTTAATATATGGAAAGGGTGAGTTAGAGCTCAAAGGCTATACTGATGCGAGTTTTCAATCAGATAAGAATGATTTTAAATCACAGTCAGGCTTTATTTTTACTCTTAATGGAGGTGCTGTCTGTTGGAAGAGTTCCAAACAAGACACCATAGCAAATTCTACAACAGAGGCTGAGTACATTGCGGCTGCGGAAGCAGCTAAGGAAGCGGTTTGGATCAAGAAGTTCGTAACTGAACTTGGTGTGGTTCCAACCATTGTTGATCCGATCACTTTGTACTGTGATAACAATGGAGCTATAGCTCAAGCCAAGGAACCTAGGTCTCATCAGCGATCCAAACATGTGCTTAGGAGATTTCACTTGATTAGAGAAATCGTTGCTAGGAATGATGTAAAGATAGAGAGAGTCTCCACAGAGGATAACATAGCTGATTCTCTTACTAAAGTTCTTCCTCAAAAGAAGCATGATAGTCATGTATTATCTTATGGGATGAAAAACATGGATAATGTGTTTTAGTGCAAGTGGGAGATTGTTGGAATGTATGCCCTAAAACAATGTATTTGTTTTTATTTTATACATTCCTAAATTATATGTTTTGTATTTTAATAATTTCTTATTTATCTGTTAAATATTGGATATAACTGATAAAATCCTTAGAATGTTTACTAATGTGATGGTAGTCACAAGAGTTGATGACTATGAGATATCAATCGCATTTATAGTAATATTCTTAAAATTCCCTAATTATAGTACTAATGAAATAGGACATCTTTAGTACGGTAAAACTAGTACACAGTTAGCCTCTAATTAATGTAATTAGTGGTTGTACTCATCAACTATGGTATGATGATACCTAGGCTAATGTGTAGATGATTTGGAAAGTACAAATGTATTGGAATGATCCATTTAGAGATCCCGTTAGGATATCTATCTAGTGCCAATGGTGTATCTCTAGTGAAAAATTGTGTAAGTGATCCTACGACTTGAGATTACCATAGTATCTTGAGTGTGAATCGCTACATTTTGACTCTATTTACTTGTTACTCTTCGTGAGTGCCTTAAAGTGTAGAAGTTGGATGTAGTGTGAAGCATGTAAAGAGAATGGGTGATCGAGATAGGATTTACCACTCTGATAGAAGGAGTTGATATCCGGATGGCCACTAGTGGGAAATTAGCCCTAAAGCCGACTATTAGGTAAATTGAAGAATGTCTTCAATTTAACCTAATTCAGGGTAAATTTCGGGAACTAGAAAACTTAATTAGTCATCAGGGAATTGGCACTTATTCCTTATTCCTGACTAATTGGATATCTTTGGTAAAAGGATAATAATTACACGGTAATTTTTCACGGAAAGGTTAGGTCAAATTCCCTTGACTAATTTCGAGTAATTGGGCGGTTGCGATGTGTTGCTAGACACCGCTCGTGATCTTTAATTATGGATTAATTATTTATTATAAGTTATGATAAAATAAAGTCGTTTATTTTACCTAATTATTAAACCATAATTATTACCAACTTATTCGGGACCTATTGGGTCACACGCAATAGAGATTTAATCTTGGATTAAAACTATGTAAATTATCGGGGTTTAATTTTTCACGGAAAGGTTAGGTCAAATTCCCTTGACTAATTCCGAGTAATTGGGCGGTTGCGATGTGTTGCTAGACACCGCTCGTGATCTTTAATTATGGATTAATTATTTATTATAAGTTATGATAAAATAAAGTCGTTTATTTTTTCTAATTATTAAACCATAATTATTACCAACTTATTCGGGACCTATTGGGTCACACGCAATAGAGATTTAATCCTGTATTAAAACTATGTAAATTATTGTGGTTTAATTTTAAAAAAAAATAAATTCCAGCCCTATTTGAGTAAATAAGAGTGAACGATTATCTCTTATTTGTCAGATAACTGATAGATAAAGTTTTGGGTGATGAGAAGTCTTATCGTTTGATTTTGAATCAAATAGAAAGACTC